GCACTTTTAGTTTTAGCTGCGTTCTAAGAGTGACAGTCAATCCCTTTGTATGCACGGTGGGCGGTAGGGTGGATTGATATCTGGTAAAGAAGATGAAGTCATGTTCTTCACAACAATCTTCAACCATCAGAGCGCTATGTGTTGCCATGACATCACCTTGGAAGAGACCTTGTTCGTCACTATGGGCTAGATTGATGGACATCAAACTTCGGGAGCACTCTGAATGATGTTATTCATCCAAGAACCTCTTTCACGTCACGAGTATATTATCCCACATAATTATGAGATTTCCAACATATTATATTGTCAGAACGACACAGGTACAGGATAGTTCTAGAAAGTAGAGGGCGTGAGAATAGTCACGTGATCTCGATGACGCAACAATATTATATTGTCAGAACGACACAGGTAGAGTCAAAAGCCTCGTGTGTTTTTTAAAGAATATTCCCTACGTAATTATGATATTTCCTAACACATTGTATAAGGTCAAGTGCTTCGTGCGGTTTTCTCCCTACCTTTACCTTAAAATTAACAAGTATAAAATCATCGGGTCAACTCACACATTTTAAATCATTCAGTATCAACGTTTTGTGGACCTAAAGGTACGCTTTGCTGTTTTCATTTTAAACAAGTAATACCCGGCTAGTTATCGACTACCGTATAAAAACTATTGTGATTCTTTTCGCTTCGAGTGGTTAAGGCTGGTAATTTTTGATGGAATCAGACAACTGAAACAGAATTTGTTTTTGATACAGTTGATAAGCCTGTCCAAGTTTTTTTTTTATCAAACCTCGGTCAGTTACAAGAGCTTCACAGTCATGGTTCCCGTTAGTGGAAAGCATTTTCTCTGATTATTCCTAGACAGCTTACAAAATGACTCTGAACAGCCGATTAAAGAGATGGTCTTTAATAACGAAACCCTCTATTAAACAAGCACCTACTATCGTATCGATCATTGAGTTGTACAGAAATTCCTTTTTTACACATCATTTTTCCATTTAATTGTAATATGATCACATTTGCGCATTGTTTGTTTTTAATTATGCACAAAGCTACACAAGGGCTATCTGTGCTCTGCCAATCACGGGTATCGAAACCCGGTTTCTAGCGTTGTAAGTCCGCAGACATACCGCTGTGCCACTGGGGGGCTTTGCGCATTGATAAGGTTGAATCGATCACAATGTAATATGTTTTTTAAGGTATTTTAAGGTGTTTGAAGTGATTGTTGCACATGTATAGGTGATAGGTGTGTACAAGACCTTGAATATACAGTCATTTAGCATAAGATCTATAAAGACCTGATGAAAAAACAAAAACACAACATCGGGAACCAGTGAATTATTGATAACTAAAAAATATAACCAATATTAGATGTGTGTGCTCTAATCATTCAAAGATAAAATTCAGTTATCTTCATGTTGTCACCTTTAAGGTAGTAGAGCACGTTCCTGGGTTCGAGAACCTTCTGAGATGGATTTTATCTTTTTCTCGTTTATGTTATTAATGAAAAAACTGCTTTGGTATAATTTCCAGTAAATGTTTCTTTTGATTGTAATAAAAATATTTGAAAAAGTATTTAATATTATTGTATTTCAGCATAACCGTGAGTGTAGTCCTTCTTTTCTACATCACATAACTCCATATTTTAATTTCTGTTTTTTAACACAAACAAGAGAACGAAAAAACGTAAAAATAAACCACATTAAACATCAATTAATTTGGCGTTAATACGAAAAAAAAGAAAAGAAAAAGAATTAATGTTTATATTCTTTTGTTACTCGTCATAGCTCAGTTTTAAAAATACATAAATTAACCACTAGATGGCACTATA